GCCGCTGGCAGCTGCGGTGGCCGCGGTGGTGGTGGTGGTGGTGGTGGTGGTGGTGGTGGTGGTGGTGGTGGTGATGGTGGTGATGGTGGTGGTGGTGATAGTTGATAATGATAAAAGGCACACCCTCTTGTGCGCTCCTAAGAGCCCACTATTCCAGTCTGTGGCAACCTGAGGGTTTTACCACAACAGTCGTGGTCATGCCGAGGAAAGTAGGGCCAAGATGACGGTAATGAAATCAACCCTCGCATCGCTCAACTCAAAAGGCTTCTTGGCCAGCCTCATCCCAGCTCTGCGCATGGACATTGATGTCCAGGGTAACCTTACCCGAATCTGCTGCTGTACGCGGCTGACGGGCCAGCTTCTTGTGTCGTGATGGAGAACTATTCTCTAGTTACTCTAATTTTCATCTCATCCGCACATGAGTTATATGATGTTCTTTTGCTAGCGGAGAGCGCTGTTCGAGCAGTGTGCCACTGGTCTCTTTCCATCTGAGATTCCAACAATCAGCTCGAAGGAACCCTTCTACATGCGCGCTTCCATCTACGATTCTTCGGGTGTGGTTGCAGAAGTTGACAAGGCAATTGTGGTGTGTGTGCGCGCGCTTTTTGCCAAGCATGCTGTGCATTGATAGCTGGTTCGTGCAGGTACCCTTTGCACCCAGCGATCGCGGACCATGCCTGCACTGACAACAAAAAGGTGCTGCTGATGTTGTTTCAGGCTGTATTCAGCCAAGATCAAGAGAGCTGCTGCACAACGGAGATGCAACGTGCTTTGACGGAAGGCCTTCCGCATTTGTGAGCCTTGTTACTGATTAGGCGTGCCTTCAGTCTCTGCCATGCCTTGATCTATTCCAACATGTGCGTCTGCAGGCTCCGATTTTTAAGGCCATGAAAGGTACGTTCGAAGTTGAAGTGGGGTGAGCTCTTTGCACATGAAGATCTATCCCTATCCATCTTTGAACTTTCTCGTGAGTTGCGTCCCCTAGCTTTTGCCACACGTCCTGCTTGCGGCAAATGGCTTCTGGCAGAAAAGCACTGCTTGCGGCAGTGGTGCTGGCGGCTATGGCGGCATGCCATCACAAGCGCAGCTTTTGTGCTGCCTTCGGTGTGCCTTGACTTGAGCTCAGTTTGCTGTGTCGTTCACATGGCCAGCGAATGGCCTGCAGGCGAAGGCTGTGAAGGGCTCTCCACGCGATCGGAGATCTCTTGCCATGGCAGGCAATGGCATGCGCAAAGAGCCAACAGTTAGGTGTTTGAACTGAGTAGTTCCTTGCTTTGCTTATTTTGCAGGCCATGAGAACAGTGCAGCTGACTTCGTTGGGGAGCGACTTCCCGGAACGGTCTTCGTTGCAGCCAAGCTGCAAGAGATCTTGAGCACAACAGGGGTCTGGTTGGCTTGATCTTTTATGGGTGTACAACGTTCTCTCTCCACTGCCCTGCTATGATTATCCAGTACGGTCCATCCCACCAAACCCCGTGCTTGGCTTTGAAGGCAAAAGCTTGAAGACATGAGGGTTCAAGGTTTGGTTTCAGACCGTCGGTTTTGGAGCGGTGGGTTACAGGCCTGCTTGGGCTGTTGGATGAAACAAGTGGCTTCGGATGAAGGATTTTATATTTGCTCACGGTTTAACGCGTTGCGCTCAGACTTCCATTTGAAGCAGCTTCGACTTTGCTTACGAGAGTAGGCCACACTGACAACAGCAAGGAATCCTGGTCCATTTTGCGAGTGGTTAGGCATGCTTTCAGCAGACCTTCAGGTGCTAGGCGGCTAGGCGAGTGCCATTTTACATGTTGATCAACTTGATTAACTGGGTCCTGGGCTTGGCTTGTGCTTGTGCTGGCGTGGGACACTTGATGCCGTTGCTGGGGCGCACGTTTCTGCCAAAGGATGATCTTTGGCTTTCACCTTGCAGCATCATTGTGTTATGCCTGCTGAATGCGATGTAGCTTGGGCATTTGCACGAGGCTGCAGCAGCAGCGGTTGCGAAGAAGATTGCATCCTTGAATCTGTTTGGCAGTGTTTTGAGTCCATTGCTGTATGCAACTCTGACAGGACAGACAAGGTTTACTGTATGTTCTACTGAGGCTACAAGGTGTGGAAGGTTGTGCTCTGCTCAGGGGAAAGACTCCTGCTTGCAGGACTACTCCTCGGAAACACAATTCTGGCCCCGAACAGCTCGCTGATAAAGGATGTGCGCAAAGTTCTGAAACCAGGCGCACTTGCTTTTTGTTGCAAGCTGTCTAGGTATCTTCAAGCATTCAAGCATGTAGAGTTAACCAGAACATGACGCAACATGACTCTCGGAGATTGTGAGAGTCTTGCACTTTTTCTTCACGATCATTTCTGCGCGGCCAAGGGTTGAGCTGCATTTGAGGCGTAGCTTTTGCCAAAGCTCGCTTGCTACGGCTTGGGATTATTCTGATGCTCAGCTTTTTAAAAAGGAAGGCTCTTTGGGAAATGCACCGTTTACTTTGCAGAAAAGCCCAGGTACGGTTTCAATGTTTCGGTACAACAGATTCTGACAATGGGCGCTGGCAGTTTCATTGCAGCCCTGACCATGGTGTTCTCTACCTTGGCCGACACCTTATGCGAAAAGTGCTGGGCCAGCAGGTAAGGATTGAGATGCCACTTCCTCCGCTGACTTAGGCGGTTGGAGTGGCGGCAGGTGAAGTGCTGCGAGTTGATAGATCGGTTTCGTTGCTTGTTGCTACCGGTGCATCCATCTGTGGCGTTTCGGCCGTGATGGCTGCGGCGCCGGTGGTCGAAGAAGATGGCGCGTCTGCTTCGAAGGTGTCCGTTGCCTTAGCAACTGTTATGGTGTTCGGGATTGCCTCCATGTTCTTGTATCCCATCATGTGGCAAAGACTGCCTGGACCAGTATCCGCAAGAGCCATGGGGATCTACACAGGCTGGCTGGTGATGGGCCGGTGGGTGGTGCAACTGTTGGTTGCCAAGGCAGTTGGCAACGCACTGCACTTCCTCCTGCTCGGTCCCTGCTAGGTGCTACTGTCTATGAGGTTGCCGGTGTCGTGGCGGCCGGCCATGCAATGTCACCAACGGTTGCCTCTGCGGCCTTGCTGACCAAATTGGCCGCTGGCTGACTATGGCTTGTGCTCTCGTTGGGTCGCAACATGGCCTCTGCAGGCGCTTTGAAGATGTTGTGCTGTTGCAAGGTCAGAGTCCTGATGCTAGCTCCATACCTCTTCATTGTCAGCAGGCTGCGGCAGCAGGCTCAGACAGTGTGCGGATTCCTGCAGGACCGGGCCTGACATTATAGGATGGTGCATGCTGGCACTGTGCGTAAGTTTGACTTTAGGTCAGGGCACAGCGGTTCCACGGGAATTCAGACGCCATGGTTTGCCTTTGCTTTCTTTGGCGTTTGCGTGTCCCGACTGATCAATCACAGTGCACGCTCCGCTTGTTGTTTGCAGAAACTAGATATCAAGATGCAGAAGTTCCAGGTTTTTTCTTCCTATTTGCCCCTTCCTGATGGACTTGCAGCTTGCGCAATCAAGATCGGCTCCTGGTGCACCGCGCTTGCAATGGCACCGTGGACAGGAAAAGAAGAGATGCGATGAAGCCTGAGTATACAGATGTTTGCTTACCACCCCAATGTCCCAACAGCTCTTGCCCTACTCATTTTCTTGGCGCAATTTTGGTTTGTTGTGGTGATATTGTGACCGGATTCAGGTTGGACTTGGCTTGGAGAGTGATGCGGCCGCCATCAAAAGAATGGGATGGCGCCCCATGTTGCTGGCAAGTGCTTTGTTTGCATACTTGGCTCCCAGGCTGCAAACAGATCAATCGGGGAGCTAGCTGGAACCGTGCACTCTACATCGTAGAGCAAAGCCCTGGAGTAGGCTTTACGTGATGGTAGTAACGGTAAGTCACACCTGCCTTCTTGCAAGATGCCGTCTGTGCTATGGCCACATCTTTATGTTGAGGGGCCATTTGGATTTGGAACCCTTAACATTCTTCATGAACAGGTTATCTTTCAGATTGGAATATATGGGACTCAGGAAGAGTTGTGCGCAGGCAACAGCTTCAGAGGTTGATCTTCAGTACAGTGTTCTGCTGAAAGGTCATTACTGCTTACTTGCAATCCACAGCCTGCTGCAAGGCATGGTGTCTGGTGCATACCCCCCAAGATGGCTATACCGTGTTGGCTGAAGCACACGACCTGCTGGTCAGGTCCAGAGGTCTTCGGCAGTCCAGCTTGTGTTTTCCGTGTTATGGCTTCTTCCATTTTCGCACCCGGCCATACAGGCGTCTTTGGCCCTAGGTGGGGACGGATTCAACCTGAGATACCAGGCGGGATAACTGCCACCATGGGGCACAATTGGTGATGTGGCGCGTCCTGCTTGAAGGTCTGCCCTTGATCTTGCCATGGGTAGCCCTCTGAAAGTTGTTTGTATCTTGAAGCCAAGACTGCTGGTTCGTGAAGTCCGTGTTGAGTAGAAGGCATTGCCGAAGCATTTCTTGGCACAAACTGTTGGCAGAGCTCATGATCTTCACTTCTGACACAGTTCCAACACACCCAAGCCTTGGAACATACAGGAATTAAGTCTTCCTGAGGTGTTCGGTGGATTCCTTGCAGTCAGCGGCATTTTACACGTGCTGCCAGTCTGAGCGGTGAGAGCCAAAGACGTTCTGCAGCTAGGACTGTCTTGAACCACAGTGCCAATGGCAACCAAAACAGCGAGCGCTTGCTCTGCTGACCATTGGCATTCGATTCGCATAATTATTGTTGCCTGCGTGGCACTCACCTCGCTCAAAGCATCCTGTATCGCATGAGAAGCGAAGACGCCGACTGCAGACAACTGCGTCTGAAATGTCCTATGAGCTGCATGATGCCTGTCACCTGAAGCCGCAAGTGCACTTCAACAGAGCACTTTGACCATAATTAACAAGCAGGCCAATCCCAACAAGCAGTCCAGAGCCTTCTGTTGCGACACTACGCGTGCCATGGAGCAAGCTGAGGATGGATACACTCTGCGCAGAGTTTGTGTTCCTGATTCTTGGAGATTTGTGATTGCCACTGAAGGATGATGCCGAGCCTATGATCTGGCCTCTGACCTCTGTGGATCTCCGTGGCGGCTGCAATCTCTTCTCAGCCCGTGTTGGTTTTCTGAGGCCATCCCAACGACGGAGGCAACGAGCCTGATGTGAGCAACCCACATGCGCGCAACTATGTTGCATGGCATTGAGAAATAATGAGATAGCTGGCGCTGGCGCAGGGCCAGGAATGAGCTTCAAGATTCAGGCAAGTCCTCCTTGCGCCTGCATCTTGATGCCCATCAGCCTTTCTCTGTCTAGGCTTCATGTCTGATAAGTCTTCTTATCGAGGCATCGGCCCTACCAAAAAAAAACTGATGCAAAGTGATGCAACATGTCTCCTGTTGCAGGAGCCTCCACCGCAGCCTCGCAGCATGCCGAGACGCCGGAAGCCCTGAGAAGCCCTGTCGCTGTGTTTCGACAAAGCCGAGAGCAAGACATACAAAGACAAAGAGCAAGATGGTTTGACAGGTCTACAGGTCTGAACTTGTCGTTTGGCTTCACGCGCTGGACTTAGCCTGACGTACTCTCTTTGTAGCAGAAGCTTGTGAGAGCTAAGTTTAACTCTCTCAGTCAGTCGAAAGTTGTGATCGTAGTAACCGGAGCAGAGGGCAGAGGTGCCCACATCATTTGTTCTAATTCCCAACCACGCATAGCACGTCTAGCAAATCAGGGACGTCTGCTCTACGGACCAATGCGCCTGTGGATTCGCACATCAGCAGCCATGCCAGAAGCTGCCACATTTCAGATGCGGTGAAATAGGATTTCCTCTCGATCCTTAGGCGATCATCATCAGCCATTTGACATTCGGCACAGACCTGTCTCTGGTGTGTGTGTGTGTGTGTGCGTGTGTGTGCGCGCTTGTGTACGTGTGTGCCTCCATTTCAACAAATTTCTCACTCCAATCCAGCCGTTGGACATGAAGCAGCTGAGAGGTTGAGTTCCCCCGCAAATTTCGTAGTGCCGTACAGCACCTTCAGCAAGCACCTTCAGCATGCTGCAGTGAAGCAAGGGGGGTACCGGGGCAAGCATGCTTGATCCTGCACCTGCAGTTTTAACAAAAGTATGCATGGAGTTCTTTGACCAGGGTCTGCCAGTTCAATCTCGGAAGTCATCCCTCCAGACGTGACTGTGTTCTGCCTAGAATGCGCATTCCGGAATGAAGCAAGTGTCGCACCCAACATGACAGCATAGGTCGGAGGGATACATGACGTGGTATGGTACAACGGAGCTCCCGTCACGCATCACTATGGGGCCACAAGACATTTCAGCCTCACACTCGCTTTTCTTGAAGCTGATCATTGCAGCCTTGTTACCACAATTTCTTGGCTCCTCTGTGCAGAATAGATTGGCTTTCATTTCTTTCATTCACGAGCTAGCTTAGCTAGGCTTGAGTTGTCTCTTGCTTTGCTGAAACAGAAGTAGATGTAAACAAGGTCTGGAAAGCAGCGAGTTATTGGTTTCATCACGGGTGGTCGACATTGGTTCTTTCACAGGAAACGCGCGCCGGGGTTGGGCGGAGCGGGCGTCAAAATTGATATATCAATGCTTATAATGGAAGGTATCCTTCTACCCATGCAGGTGCATTCACTCACGGATTGCTTGACTTACTTGCACGTGCTCCACTCACTACATCTGCATGCCGGCGGCGCAAATAATGTGGTGCTTGCCGGACCAGTGTCGTCATGCTGGTTGTTACATCAAACCTCCCCGCTCCCTGTGAAGTCTGCAGTGCTCTTGCGGGAAAGAGGTCGCTTAGCCAACATTTTTCGGGGTCGCTTAGCAAACGTTCTTTTTTTGAGTCGCTTGGCATGTCCGAATTGGCTAAGTGACCCGCGTTTTTGTTGGCTTAGTGCCCCTTGAACAAACCCTAAACCCTAAATCCAAAGCCCCTAGACCCTAAATCCCAGACCCCTAAACCCCTAAACCCTAAATCCAAAACCCCTCAACCCTAAACCCAAAATCCAAAACCCCTCAACCCTAAACCCTAAATCCAGGCATCTCGGTTGTCAGGTGCG